ATAAAGATTTTGTGAGTTCCAATCCACCAATGAATTAATGTGCCAACTCATTGGTGCTTAGAATAAGAAGAGCACCGGTGCTCATTAGATCATTTCTGTATATATATATATGTTTTATTTTTTCTAGAAAAGCCAAAATCCTGTCGCTTTTGCAATTTCCAACGGAGAACATTTATAATCCCCGAATTTGTCCAATCCAATCCAATTCCACATCAGAAAAAAAAAATCAAAGCATTTTGTTTTATCATTACAGTAATCTACAGATCCGATTTCCATTAATCCGCTCAACATTCCGTTAAAAATAATTTCATAGGGTAAGAAATTCTCCTTTTGATAATTTTTCAATCTGTCAGGGGTCGAAATTTCGTAATTGGTGGTACGCGGTTTTTTTAAATTGTAAAATTGCAGTACTGAGGGTTTACTATTTTTACGGCTAATCAGTATTGGCCTGGGTTTAGAAGATTGGTGAATTTTCTTGTTTCTGTTGTGCATATAATTTCCATGGGTTTTTCTTGGATTTGTTTAATGGGTCAAATTAGTAAAAGGTTGTTTTTTGTGCATTTATTTGTGCGGAATTGAATTAATTTGATACGTTGGAGGATTTAAGATGTTTGTTTATGTTGTTTACATGGTTTATCTGTCCTTATGCGATCGTGTGAAATTACTGAATTTAGAAATTTGATGTGAATGAATTGGAAAAGAATAGGGAGTTTCAGTTGTTCTCATGAGTTGTCTGTTCTAAACTTTGGGTTTGCAGATATGCAGAGTCAAGTAGTGTGCAGTGGGTGTAGGACTGTCCTCCTCTATCCCACAGGAGCTACCAATGTTTGCTGTGCATTGTGTAATGCAGTTACTGCTGTTCCACCACCTGGTATTGTCCACTTCTTTACAGATGTGCCGCTATTTCACTTCAGAAAGTTAAGAACATTCTGATTTCTGAGCAATCACATTTTAGTGTTCTCTGCAGTTAGTCATTGCATGAATGGACAAGGTTAAGTAAGAAGATAAATGCAGATAAAAGGCGTAGTTTGAGATTTTTTTTTTTTTGGTAGTGTTAGTAGATTTGGTTTTGCTTCAGTTTGTTCTATCTTCCTTGGTTTATTTTATGTGTTGACGGTTTGTTACTGTTTATGAGTAGTTGAAAATATTTTAGAAGGTTTAGGTGGATAATCTACCTGCAGGCATGATATTATGCTCTTTGCTGACTAATGATATTCTGGATGCACATTGTTCTCAGATGGAGCTGTACTTCATTCGTTTTGTTTGATTTCATGCCATCATTTTTCACCTTATTTGTATATGTTTATATTTTCCTATATATTCTTCTGTTTCTAGTCAAGCCAACTTGTTTGAAGTTTGGAAGAATGCTTGTAGTTGTTATTCCATATATCTTCCCTTTAGTTTCATTGCTTTCACTAATGTCGTAAACAAGTTCTGTGCATAGTAAAGTATGTTTTAAGAATCCAAAATATTCCTTCACGTTGCTACTACGAAGTAAATCATGGTTCTGCTTAGAGCCTGTGCCTATTGTGCATTTCTTTTCTATAGTGAATGAATCAACAGATCAAGAGTGGTTGACATCTAAGACGTCTTTACTATATTAAACGAGTTTGTGAGGTCAAATATGCTGTTTGCTATATGTTTGCTATAGGAGTACCTAAGATTGAGAATGTTTGAGAGAGTGCAGGCTTAATTTATCATGTATGCTAGTACTTATGTTTTCTTGGAGGCACATTGATTTCCAAGCAAGCATTTATTTAATACCCTTGCATGTTTATTAGTTATTACATATTTTGTTCCTTTTTTGGTTCATGGACATATTTACTGAAGTTTTATGACAACTTTCAGGAATGGAAATGGCGCAACTGATATGTGGAGGTTGTCGTACCTTACTTATGCATGCACGGGGGGCTACCAGTGTCAGATGCTCCTGCTGTCGAACAGTGAACCTTGTGCCTGGTACTGAAGTTTGAACAGTGTATTTTTGTTACATATGCTCAAATCTTGATCTATCTAAATTGTTAACCTTTTCCTCTTTCAAAATTGGTTTGATATGCTCTTTAAAAAAGTTTTTGAAAGTATTATAGATTGTGAAATATCTTCTACCATACTAACCCTGGTTTAATACTTGGATAGTTCCTGTCTTGAGTGACTTTAGTCTTGCTCTTATCTTCAAATCATTAACTATCTACCACTGAATGATGGATTTGCAGCACCTAATCACGTTGCTCATGTACACTGTGGAAACTGTCAAACTATGCTGATGTATCCAGCTGGAGCTCCGTCAGTTAAATGTGCAATCTGTCAGTACATCACAACTGTGAATGTTAGTACCTCGGTATTTACTCTATGCAATAATACCCTTGCTCACAAAAATGCTCAGTATATATTCCTTACAGCGTATGCCATTTATTTTATTCTCCTTTTCTAGAGTTATATTTTTAAATGCTTACATAGATTTATATGCGGATTTTTGTGATTGCTTTTGTTTTCTACTGCATAAAAGATCTCTTGTTTGTGATCCTCTCGAGGTGCCAAATTCTGCAAAATGTGTAATATTACTATTGAGTCTAATCATGATATATAAGATAATATTTCTATGCTGTTCCTAACTTGTTTATTCTTCTGCAGATGGGTGAATCAAGAATCCCATTTCCTGTGCAAAGACCTGATGGAAACTCTACAACGGGATCAAATCTGTCTACCTCCACGGTGAGTTGGTTGATTTTGTATCATATACACTGAAATTGCAATAATCTAATGTGGCATTCAATGGTTTGAACTGCTCTTTCCAATGCAGGCTGCATCCCATGCTCAGAATCAAACAGTTGTCGTTCAGAATCCCACGACTGTCGATGAAAGTGGCAAGTTTGTGAGTTACTTCACATCTCCCACCAATTTTTTCCTTCACACATTTCTGTTTATTTGTTGTTGCTAGGGCTGGGCAAAAACTAATCCGAACCAGTCAAACCGATCAACCTAACCCAAACCAACCGGTTTGGATTGGTCTTTTAGTTCAATTGGATTGAGTTCGGGTTAGAAAATCAAATTTTAGGTCGAGTTGAGTTGGGTTGAGTTCCAGGTTATCTATTAAAACCCAACCCAACCCAACCCAACCCAATAAATTAAAAAATATTAAAAAGAAAATTAATACTTAAAACCAAAAACTAAAAATCCAATGATCAAAATTCTCCTCTGCCTCACGTCTCTTCTGCCTCTCATTCTTGCTCGTGCCTTGGCTTCTCGACCCGATTTTTTGACATGATTTTTGACTAAACACTTGGATTGAAGGAGGGAATTTTGCATTGAGTTTGGAAGATTTTAACATATTTAGTATTTAGGTTGAATTCATCTTATTCAATAGGTATAATATGTAGGTACTCAACATGTATTTAGATTGTGTTTTTAATTTGATCATGATAACAGATTTTACAATAATTTTAATTTATATTGTTCTATTGGAATGGAAAACAGGTATTCAACATATATTTAGATTGATTTAATTTGATCATGATATAATCTATTTAACAGGTGTTACAATATTTTTAATTTATATTGTTCTATTGGAATGGAACTTAACCCCACGGACAATTGATCCAACTTCAATCGACTTAAGACATTTCAAACCATCATTTTTAATGTATTTGAAAATGATCCAAATTGAAATTCTATCAAACTTTAAAAAAATTGTTCAAATTCAACGAAAAAAATTACAACCATTGGGCCCATAAAAAAATGTCTAACATGAATTGGACTCAAATTCAAACCAATCAACCCAACCCAAACCAACCCGAGTTTGGATGGGTTTGGGTTTCAACTATAAATGGGTTGATTTGTGTTTGAATTATTGTCAAACCGAACATGTTGAGTTGGATTTGGGTTGGACTCAAACCAATCTAACTCAATCCACGCACAGCCCTAGTTGTTGCTGTTACTATTTTGTTGTTGAAAACACAGAAGATGAATTAGGCTGATGTAATTGTAATTTATTAGGTGAACAACGTTGTTGTTGGAATTACTACATGAGAATGGTATCGGAATGGATTGCATCCAGTACACTATTCCGGAATAAATGGCTGGTTCAAGAACTTGGCTTCAACTGGGTGTATAGGGATATCTTGTTCATATCATTGCCAAAGATGAGTATTGAAGTACAAAATTTCTAGTTGTAAAGATAGACTTGGAGAATTCTTTTTGTACTATATGAGTAAACAAGTGTGAAGTGTTGATATTTTAGTCTGTCATTTATGTTATGCTACTGAGTAATTGTGTTTGCTATCAAGAAAAGACTGATGTATGAGAACATTACTAGAACATTGCCATGCCACAGTTCAATTCACCACAATGTAGGGTAAATTTTCTGCATATCTTGCTTACGGGAAAATGGAAAATGCTTGTTATACATCACCATTTAAGTAGGCTTTTACGGTGTCAAAAAAGAATGCGTGGAATAATTTTTTTAAACTTGATTGATGAAATTTTGCTCCAATCAAATCTGGTCACATAATTTGTTGGTAAACAAATCTGCAAGTTGTGATATGCATATAGCACAACCATGAAAAAATATAACGAGTAGTGCATTGCTGGATAAACAAAAACAAAAAATCAAATTTCTTGAAACTTGTTGGACTTCAATCAAATCATCCAATACTGAAAGAATAGAAGTACATTATCAAGATCAATGAAGCCATCGAGAAACAGAGAACCCTATAACCTATACAGAGCAAGAAATTCTCGTTTTCCTCTCTACAAATTCTAACTATGACTATCAAACAAATCAATATACGTCAATTTCAATGAATCTTGGATGCAAAAACAGCACAACCAATCCAAAAAATGATGACGAACACATCGCAGAAGCATGCTACGCCAAAACTCACGTCAAGAATAGTTTCGTCCACTGGTTTGCTGTCATTTGGCGGTGGTGACACAAGGATTGGTCCAGGCACCTGTGTCGATGCTGTTGTGTTGTCTGGCTGCGGTGGTGGTGGTGAAAAGAGACCGTTGTCGTTGCCGCCATAGACATTGTAATCAAGAACATTTTTGATTCCATGAACTGAAAAAGCAGCATTCACAAGAATATCTGGGTGGGTGACTAGAGAGTCATCGACGGTGAAATTGAATCGAGAATTGTTGGTGATGACAATGTACTTTGAAGGGTAGAGAGTGGGGAGGCGCGTGAGGGTGGAAAACTGTTGAAGATCGGAGAAAGAGAGGCGCTGTGGGACTATATGGTAAGGTACAATAAAAGGGTCGAAGTTCGTTCCGGCGGCGGTGGCGGTTGGGAACTGAGAGATGGCGTCGTTGCTCGGAACGAAGAAGGTGGCGGTGAATGACAGAGATGATGGGTTGGTGGAGGAGAGGAAATTGATCCATCCTGCAAAGTCTCCGGCACCTATTAGGGCGTCGATTATGTTGTTCATCTGTTGTTTTGGAATCTCCGCCAGTTGCATAGGCGGCGGCGGCGGAGATGGTGGCAGATAAGGGGTGGGTGGAAAACGTTGGTGGGGTAGTGGGATTGAAGATGGAAAGGGTGATGGTGGAGAAGGGTTTGCGGCGGAAACGTGGTTGACGCCGGTGATGGCTCCCAAAATTGTCACCAGGAGTATTAGGCAAAGAAATGAGGAATTTGCCATCAGAATTTCTTGGCAAACTTTGGATACAGATTCTGCAATTCTGAATATATACTTTGATAAAAAAGATACAGATAAAAAAGAAATGTTGAACTCTGTGTGTTAGAGCTTTGAGAGGGAAAATTAACGAACTTGGTTTCTTGAATTTTGCGTCTACTTTGACCGTTGCTTATTAACAGTTCGGTCTGCAATATTTAAAACCGAGCAATATTAGATTCTACCTATTTTCAAAACAATCTCCAAAAATTGTTTGTATATCATATTAGAGTGACCTAATATACATATAGATTGTTCTTTAATCTTGACGTTTCGATTATACTTTGGCTCGAGTAAACAATTGCATATATAGAGTAACAAGACCAATGCAATCCGACCACAATAGCTAAGAGTCTGCCTGGTACTGATTTATTCCTCCGAAAAATGGCTTTTTGGACCCTTTTTTTCAACCACATGGGTCTCAATGAGAGAGACATTCAAATGTTGCGGCTTGACTCTCTTATAACGGCTGGAAAATTGCTTTTAATCAGGTGGAAAATCCATACCAGGCAAGCACTAAGTCCCGTTTCATGGTCCAAAATTTTGATTTCTAGAGAATTGGAACTCTATTGAGATTGTAATAACAATATTTGATAGATAAAACTCCTTTAAAACTGGCTTGTAAGGAAACTTTAACCAATTAGTTATAAACCCGCAAAGTAAGTCTGAACCTTAATGATATGTGATATAATTGGAGTCATTTCATTCCACCGTTTTTTACATAATCAACGCCCCAAAGGGCAAGTTCTTACGCGTTACTCACCCGTCCATCACAGGAAACACCACATAATCAACATCCATGGCAGACCATATTCTCAAGTGACTTCGAAGAACCAGTCTTATATTGAAAATAGGCTTCCTCAAGCTGCCCCGGTTGCAACGAGGGTCATTCCTTGAGGGTGCCAACTTTGATACTAATTATAATGACCACATTAAAGGGATGATGCCTAGTCATGTGAGATATAATTAGGGTTATTAAATTTCTAAAAATCTTTTTTCTTTCTAAATGACATATTCTATCGCAGGTGGAGAGGGAAGGGAAATTTCTCACCAACTACGGTGCTTCCCCTGCAATATGTGGGCTTTTTTCACATCTATTTCACATCTTTCTATTTAGCCCAAACCAATTTGTCTCCGCTTTCGAAATTCAGTGGCCCATAGAAAGTTGTTATCAGTAATTTCAGGCCTGCCACCATAATTACCATTTGCATGTTTGGCTAAGCTTAAAAATATGGGAAGAATTCATAAATCAGGGTTCAAGTATGAAGAATTCAAATACAGGTTTGAAGTTTGAAAAATACAAAAATCAGGTATTTAGCAATTAATTAAAAATATTTATCATTTAAATATAATAAATTCACAATTATACAATTAATGGTCACATGTACATAATTATATGTCACATATTATCAATTAATTGATCACAAATTACTTCGAGATCACAAATCAAAAATCTTATAGATCACAGTTTACTTCATTGGTCGTGGATCAAAAAAAATTATAGGTCGCAATTTATTTATAGGTAAAATATTTTCAAATTTTTTTGTCACAAATTATTTTTTGATCACAAATTATTGAATTTTAAGGTTACTTTTTAATAATTATGAGTCACACTGAACCAAATAGTTGGTCACATATACCAAACACCCCACCCCTGATCCCACGCCCATCCCAATCCACCACCAATACTTGGTCACAGATCAACCTAATATCCGCCCCCGCCCCTGCTCCCGCTACACACTACCACAACCACAACCACAACCACCACCGCCAACAACAACAAAAACGACCCCCACCATCATCGCCTGCACCGTACCACCTACAAAAAAACCACCTCCGCCGCCCTAGTTACGACACCACCCCAACCATTACCACCGTCGCTTGCATCACACCACCTAAAAAACCACCAACGCTGTTACCCCGCCACAACACCATCACAACTATTGTCACCGCCACAACAACAAAAAACACCATCGCCATCGGACCAGCAGAACCTACCACTATCGTCATCTGCACCGCCAACAAAAATCGTCGCCACCCCAATACCACCACCACAATAAAAAAACTTGGTGCCTGCACCACCACCACAACCAAAACGCGGAGCTTGCACCACCACAACAACCAAAACTGCAATGGTGTCGAAGAGAGAGGAGAGAGAGAAGGCATATCGGAAACCAAAAGTCATTCCCAGAAGCGTTGCCGTTCTCAACCACCACTATCACGATTTTGGGATCAAAACCCTAGCTAATCGACTTAGATTCGAGCGAACAGAGCGCCGCCGTGCGTGAAGATGAGCGTCGCCGTGTGTGAAGACCACTGCACGTGACACTCACAGAAGCCGCTCACAGCGTCAACTCCCGATGGTGACGCCGTCATGCAGGCGGTTCTCTTCCAGGGTGGCGCCGCTACTGCTGAGATAGAGGAGAATACGGGTGCGTTTGGAGGGAAGAGGAGTGAGAGTGGGAGGGAGAGAGGAGTGAGACAGGCCGTCAATTAATATCTGATTTTTGATTAAATAANCAGGCTGTCAATTAATATCTGATTTTTGATTAAATAAATCTTAGATCAGATTTTTGAATTTGAAAACTTAAATGTTTGGTTTTATGTAATTTTTCCTAAAAATATACTTTTTAAGTGTAAGAATCAAATTTTTTGTTGGTCAAAGTCAGTTATTAAAAGGTAGATATTGTTAAAATAAGTTATTCAATTTTTTTTTTAAAAAGTAACATATTCAAACGTAATTGGAAATAAAAATTTAAAGTTCAGTCAAACACACTTCGTGTGATTTTTAAGAATTGGATTTTTTTTGGTCGGGTGGATATCAAGTCGTTCAATTTGGATATTTTAAAAATCAAATCGAATCAATTTTCCATTGTAAGAATTATATGTAAATAAAGGAAGCAGGTCAGTCAACAATTAATCTTTTATGTTTCAAAAATAAAATTTTCAGTCAAAATTGTTGTATACATTCTGTTGATTATTTTAAATGCATATAAGTTCATATAAAATATAAATTGCGATTTAATTGAAATATTATTTTATAATATTTTTGAAACCAAATCAAAATAATTGGAATTGTCCATTTCTTAGGATGAAAAATAATTGATAATTTAAGCAAGTTGTAGGGAGACAGAAAGCCAAGACCAATGGCAGATTTAAGCTCCTACTTACGGTGGGCAAGATAAAAACATTCTATTAATGACGTGATAAAAGAACCTTACTTATGTTCTCTGAAATAGTCATACATTTATAGAACCATACTTATGATTCTTTCTGCCACATCAGTAATGGAAAGTTTTTATCATATCCATTGGGGACACAAAATCAATTATGTTGCATTTGGGTGCTCAAAAACTTCGAAACCTTAGATTCTTAGCCCCTATTTGATTTAAATTAAAATCTCAAGTCAAAGTCAACAATTAATTTTAACTACACATTTTATGGGACATATAACTTTTCAACCATACATTTAATCAATTTTTATCAAAATCTACTAAAATTCTGATTTTAATCTCTATAAATCAGGGGTTAATCTTCAATTTTTTATCACTTTGGAACAACAAATTAGTCACGATTTTAACTTCTTTTTTTATTAATACAATCGGATGTACTATATTTTAATCTTTATTCAATTTAGAATTTATTTCTCAACAGATTCAAGTGCAAGCTATACATTGGCGGTTTTGAATCCAAATTTTTCTTAGTTATATTATACTTCTCTTAAATATTTTATAATGGAATTATAAATAAAAATTCTGAGGCCAAAAATACAGGCGGGCCAATCGATCTCAGCCGTCCATATTGACAGCCGCAAATGCAAGCGACAAGCGTGGTGGCCGGTAGCTGAGCCGCGGACGTCAAGGGGTGGCTGCTGCTTATATTTAGGCAAGTGTACCCAATATTGATTAACAATTAAACAAAATTTGGGTTGAATTGTCATTAAACGAAGTCGTACGAGTCGTTTTATAATAATTATTTAATTCAATAATATTAGGAAAATATTTTAATATTACTACGATTAAATTATAATTTTAGATCACATGAAAGGATGCTTTGATTTGAATTTGTGTATCATATTTTTACTCGGAGAATCCCAGTTATAGTTTTGTTTTCTTGTTGAATATGTCATGCCCGAACGTGCAGTGTGTGTAGCCTGATGACAAATATCAAGCTAAAATTATTTAACTTATTATTATCAATTTTATTTATTTATTTATTTGGGATGGACCACCTTGAAAATGTTACAAGACTTCAAAATAACCCAGTTGGTTAAAAATATATTTGTACAGTTCAATGTCGATGAGTAGGAGTTGAGATCGACTATTCAATTTTTGCTGTCCAACTTGCTAATCACCCAATTAATGATTGACATGTTAAACATTAATTGGGTGAACATAAAAAAATTGGATACCGGATCTCAACTCGGTGAGTAGAGGCGCCATTGACAACTTCTCAAATTCCCGTTCATGTGCAATTTTGGCTACATATATACAGGCGGGTGTAATGTAACGTAAAATCAAGTTCATGTTCGGTGTAGGTTCTTTAAAAAAAATTTCTCAAACTTATTTTTAATAATATATTCTTTTGATAAAATAAATTTTTTTACTTGAATTAATAACATTTTCTTACTTTTTACTCACAAATTCTTCAAATAATTCATTTTTCACAAATTTTATTGTCAAAAATTCTATATTAAACGGGCCCCAAAGCTGTAAACGCTTAGTTGATAAGGTTGCAGCTATGATATCTAATGGATCATCTTATTTGGGTATGTTAGTGATTTTATTTTATAAAATCATTTCTTCAATAATTGCAGTGGGTAGGAGAAATGCATTCAAGCTCGTTATGGTTGAAGATCAACCAGGAAATCTAGAAATCCATCTCATTTTCTCAAAATTTCACTTTTAATCAATTTTTTTTTGTCTTGATACGCCATTACCCAAGAGTTTGGCACTTCTGAGACAAAC